GACTGTTCAATGTATTGTCCTTTTAGAAGCCCATATTACCACATTTTGCACCAGCTTTCAGGTATTTTTTCAAGGCATAATATTTATTTGTTTGCTTGCTTGTTTGTTTTTGTGTGGCTGTCCATCGCACCAAGTGACTATGGGTGGCGAATAAAATTAAAAAAATAAATAAAAAACAATTGATACAAAACTTAAAATACATAGGATCTGGGATAAATCACTCATTCTAATTACTAAATTAATCATAAAACGAGTTCTTGCACCCACTCAGGAATCCAGGACTAGGCAGAGCCAGAGGTTGTTTTTTTTAAGGATTTACGACAGTGGGGGTTTCAAAATTTGTTCTGTGGGTGTGGCTTGGTGGGTGTGGCGTGGCTTAGTGGGCGTGGCAGGGGAAGGATACTGTAAAATCTCCATTCCCTCCCCACTCTAGGGGAAGGTTACTGCAAAATCCCCATTTCCTCCCAATCAGCTGGGACTTGGGAGGCAGAGAATAGATGGGGGCGGAGCCAGTCAGAATTTTTTACTACCAGTTCTCGGAACTACTCAAAATTTCCGCTACTGGTTTTCCAAAACTGGTCAGAACCTGCTGAAACCCACCTCTGATTTACAAAAAAGCAGCAGGCCTGGGGTCATCCTATTCTCTGGAGGGATAATGTTTCACCTTTATATATTTTATAATTATATAATTATATAATTCCCACTAAAAATAAAATAATAAAATGAAATGAAGTAATAAAATAAAATATTACATATAAAATGCAATAGCCAACATGGCTAACAGCTGATATTCTAGATGGTTCTCTATATAGAAAATCATTGGGGAAACATTCAGTTAATCACCTAAGAAAAGCAAAACACTCAAATGAAGAAGCCAGATAATGCAATAAAGCTGAATGTGCTTTCAGAATATTTACTTGGCCGTCTAATTAGCTTGTATTCAAATAATAGTACAATTCTGCGCAATGCTACTGTACACTCATTGCTTAAGACAGAGCAACCTGACCGCTGTCCTTCACACTTTGGTGACTTCCAAATTATACAATTGTAAATATATTCTATCTAAACTGCCTTCGAAGATTGTTTGAAAGTTCAACTATGGAAGAATGCAGCAACTTGCATATTTATGAGGCTGACTGATCTTCATGTATATTTACAGTGAAAAATCTGTAGTGACTGCCAATTCATCTGAACCCCATTCACCTGAACCCTGAACTCCTAATATTGAGATTGATAGGCTTAAATCCAGACTATTTAACAGATCTCTCTTCTCTTGTATTCTCCTTTCCTTCATCTTCCAAACATGTTCTGGTTTCATCCCACAAGTGGTTAAGTTAATCTTGACTAGGATTGCCTGTAACAATTTCAATGTTGTGAATACTTTGGTTAAGATATAGCTAGATTATTTTTTCTGACTAAACAACAACAAAATATTTTTTGTTTTTAAAACAAAAACAAATGGGCAAACACACTGTGATAGCACTAGCACTTAGACTTATATGCCACTTTACAGTACTTTACAACCCTCTCTAAGCGGTTTACAGAGTCAGCATATTGCCCCCAACAATCTAGGTCCTCATTTTACCCACCTCGGAAGGATGGAAGGCTGAGTCAACCTTGAGCCTGGTGAGATTTGAACTGCCAAATTGCAGGCAGCTGGCAGTCAGCAGAAGTAGCCTGCAGTACTGCACTCTAACCACTGTGCCACTGTGGCTCATGATGATAATATGAGTACCCTGAATAGTTCAGGCACTTTAATTTAGGGCAAAATATATATTTTATTTTGCAAGGTGATATAATCATTAAACAGAAAGCATCTGACTTGGAGCATTTGGTCTTGTGAACCATTTGGAAGAACTCAAATATGTTTGGACTTACTTAAAAGTTGCAGAAATAGATACACATGCAGTTATTTACAACACAAGCACAGAAGCGTATTTGCTTCAGCATTCACCACTTTATAAGCATGCAAAAAGTTCTATATCATGTCTGCTAAAGTTCAGTATAAGGTTGATGGATTCATATTTTTATTTAGAACAAAATATGATTTATTTGCTTGTGCTTTATTATGATGTGTGAACCATGTTTGTGATTTATTCAACATTAGAGTTAAGCAAACCATAATCTATTAGGTCTAAATCTTTTGCCAATGACAGGTCTTTTTTTCCATATTAACTTCACTTTCCTGAATTAATCTATACACCGGAATTCTATAAAGGGAAAGAGGGTTAAAATTAGAGGCAACTAAATGTTCTATTCCATAGTTCAATGATTTGTTAAAACCAAAAGATGGCAGAACATTTTAAAGATATTTCTTCTACAGACCCTGATCCAGTGTATCTATTTCTCCTTACCCAAGCAAACAGTAACATGGAGGACCATTGAGAGGGAATATTCATAAAAGGCATATGCAAAACCAAGAAGATATAATTTTTGGATTGTTCCTTGCCCTTGAAGATTAGCCTTTTATTAAGTCAAAGGTTCACGTAACAGTTACCCATTGCTCATTGCTTGGGGTTGTTTTGTAGATACCTCTGGGTCATGAGTTCCTTTCGAGGTATGTACAGTCTGCAAAGCAATATCAAATGGGAAACAAAAAAAAAAACTTTTAAGCTTGCTGCAACTGTTGGAAATGCATTTAGTAATATTGGACAATAGTCATCCATATGCACAAGCATATGGAATACTAAGGAAGAAAAAGCTCACATTGACACTTTTAAATTTTAGTACTACAATGCAAAATACAATAAATATTGCAATATTGCTGTATAATTAGGGATATATTTAGATCCTTCAGTCTAGTTTCCCTTCCCCAGTCTTGAGTCATATTAAAAGTTGCAGCGTATTATATAAGCCAGCTGGAAGAGCAGGCTACATGTAAATCTAGGCAGTTCTCTTGGTTTTGTTTTGGCAATTTAAATTTCTTTTCTGTCAATATGAGAGGTTCAGTAGGCTGCATTTGTTTTGCTCAAATTTTTACATCATTTACTTTGATTGAAAACTAATTAAGAATATCGTTTTCTTTCATTAACTTTTAAAATGTTATGGTCATTTGAGAAATGGCTCAATTCAAACTTAGTATCTTAAAAATATCAAACTTTTTTTAGTTACATCAAGATGCATAAACAGATGCACATCCCAAACTTGAGAATACTTATATTTGCATTTCCATGGATGGGAGTTTTACCACACAAATGAGATTTGTAAACCGCAACAAAAACCATTCCAGTAATTTTCTGATCTTCAGAATAATTTTCAAAATGGTTTATTATTTGTTTTCAGAATAATGTATCATAAAAGTATAAGATAACAATACCATATATAACTTTAGGAAAAAAAGAGAACTCATTAAAAGCAGCAAACTAGAACCAGCATCAGAAAAAATATTTACCTATCAGACATAAAATTTACTGGACAAAGCAGTGGATATATAAGAAAAAGTCCAAGAGGAGGCTGGAAAGGTTAAGAAATTAGCAATAGGCTTATTTCTTTCAAGGATTCCCAAAACCGAAAATTTCATCTATTGTTGGAAGTGACCATCTCTGATTAGGTATGACAATAGTGTGGCATGCAAGAATTTTGTGCAAGAGCTTTTGTGGAATAGATGAGGTGGAATTTTTCCTTCAAGTGCTGTGATTCCAAGTCATGGCTCCCAACAATTAGAACCGAGTTCAGAAATGAGCCAATGAATTTTGGTATATGATTATATTGGCATTCAATTTGATCATAACACGCAATTTCAGTCTGGTTTCAGACAACTTAATATATAATAAAACAATAGTAGCATGGAAATGACATCCTTGAAAAAATGTACAGGCACTATAATGCTGTATTTTCATATTGAAACATATATAATTTCATTAGTGATGCCCCCAAGATTAGCTCTTTGGTTAAAAATGAAAATGTGAGGATTAAGTCCTATAAAATAATTCCCATATTAGTAATTCCCATATCATTTCACTGCTACAGAAGAGAGCAATTGTGAGACAATCACTCTTGATTAAGGAAGTCTATGGAGATTCTCAGTCAACCAGGTCACGGTTGTCCCAAAAGTGGTGAGACAAACTAGACTTGGTTTTTTTCTTGAAGACATTTTGCTTCTGATCTTCATCTCTGAAGAAGCTTCTTGGATGGGAAGCGAAATGTCTTCAAGGAAAAAACAAAGTTCAGTTGCCTTTTGATAAGGAAGCTCTTATCAAAAAAGCTTTTGATAAAAAAGCTCTTAATAAGGAAGTTTCTCTTTGGCAAAGCAAACCTTGCTTGGTAGAAAGCCAAGGCAAAGGCCAACTTTTGGATAAGGAGCTACAATCATGGCCCAGAAGAGTTTCACACCTGTTGTCTGCTATACCTGCGGATGCTACAACTCACTTTTCTCTGTGTGTGAGATCTTACAACCCCGTTTGGTAAATATTCGGAACCGGGAACCTTCCAAATGCGTTTAAGATCCGGTCCCACGATGCCCAACTAGCTTCAGGTCTGGCGGTTTTGCATTGCCGGAACCCAACTGGAGGGCACCAGTTAGAGAAGGGTGGGAAGTACTTACATACTGGCCATTAACCTTCTGCAAAAGCCCCCCTCCCCACACCGAATGGGTGAACCCGCGTTCTTCTATCCGGGCGCTAACCTGGCGCGAGGGAGGTCCCGATCCCTTCCAAGCCGCGCCAAGGCGGCCGGCGATACCCGAAGGTAAGCAGCCTGGCTATACACCTGCACGCCTTTGTCGGCCCGTGCGTGAGTGCGTGCGTGCGCACGAGCCGCATCCTCCCTCCCCCTTGCTCACCGCTGGCGTGGGCTGGTCGGGAGAGGAGAGGGAGGGGTGTAAAAGCGCCGCGGCTTTCCCATTGGCCGCTTGCCGGAGTGCCTTTCCCTAGCTCGGCTCCGAAGAGCGTGCGAACGATTAGAAAGGGAGGCTGTCGCCGGAAAAAGGGAGCGCGAGCTCGAGCGAGAGGGTGAGTGAGCGAGCTGGAGGGGCGGGTTTTTTCCTCCCCGGTCTCTCGCCGCCCCAGCCAGAAGGAAGCTCCCTGCGCCAAGGAGAGGTTCCCGGCGCGCCTCCCCTCCTCCCCCTGCGGCGGCGGCGGCGACTCCGCCAGACGAGTCGGGGGGCTTCCGTCCTTTCCTCGCCGGGCTGCTTCCCTCTTTCGCCAGCGTGGGGGCGGAGAGTGGAGACAAGGCCTTCCAGGAGAGCAGGAGCCAAAGAGGAAAAGCGCAAGGCTCTTTGCGCTCCTCCAAGCAGGGCGAAGGGGAATGCCCGCGCCTGGCTAGCTGGATTTCATCGACAGCAAAATGGGCGGATTTTAGGCGGCAGCGGCTCCTCCCGGTTGCACGTCCTAGTTGACCGGGTAACCGGGGTGGGGGGGGTGGAATTGCTGAGGAATGTGGCGTCCGTGCGGCTCCAGGCTCCTGGCTCAGGTGAAATGGAGGCTTTGGGGGCTCCTGCTTGCGGTGCGGGGAAGAAGGTGAGATGCGCGCGAGGAAGCGGCGCGCGGAGTTTAGGAGGCGCCTTTCTTTCCCTCGCTCCCTCCCCAGCGAGGCGTTGTTCTGACGGGTTGTGGGGGGGGGGAGGCGGAAAGGGGGTGACTTCTTTTTCCCTGGCTGTTGTCTCCATTTCGCAGCTCGAGGCAAGGGGGAGAAGAGGCTCTCGCTCGTGCAAGGCGCGGGCAAGGGAGAGGAGGACCCCGGCGGCTTCCATTTCTTGGCAGCACAAGCCCGGGGATTTTTTAGAGAGCGAAGTTAACCAGCCGGCGGTCACCCGGGACCGCTCTGCTTTCCCAATCCTGCTTGCTTTCAGAAACACTGCCGGCGTGGTGTATGGTGGACTGTGTGCAGGGAGGAAACAGTGACATAACCGCACCCTTCCTGCAAACATGGGCATTTTAACTCGCCCCTTGCTTTTTTTTTTTTTTTTTCCTGTCTCTTTTCTCCAGAGCTTAGCGCCATGCATGAAGTCCTGGAAGATCCTACCAAGGTGGAGGTGATGAGTTGAAAGGCAGAGGCAGTGGAAGCTGGTTGTGGGCTTTCCCTTCCCAGCTATCATGACTGTCTTCCGGCAAGAAAACCTGGAGGATCACTACGAGGTTGGAGAGGAACTTGGAAGGTAGAGTACCTGTTGGGAGGAAAGTACGTGGACTGGGTGGCCTTGATTGATTTTTTTTAAAAAAAATTGTCCCTAGGGGACAATAGAAACCACAGAGCAAGTGTTTTGGGTTGGAAGAAGACTGAAGGTTATGGTGACCACAACAGGACATGGGAACCAATCCCTGGCATGTGCACGACCCAGTAAACTGGGAACCAGCTAAGTGCCTTTTAGTCTTCTGTGGAATGTGAAATCAGGCTGCTTGATAGATTGCTGTTTCTGTCTGGCATGTGAACCCAGAAATGTGGGTTAATTGACTAAACTCCAGTTCAGTTGACCAAGATAATAAATATATTGTAGGAACAAAGTCACAGGATTGAACTGTAAATGTGTTTACCATTCATGCATTCCAATGAGCTGCTTAAATGCTGCAGATGAAGAGATATGGTATCTTTTAGCAGCCGCATGCCTTTTAAGGGGGGATCATTAGACCACCAATAAAATGTATAATGTTGTGGCAAGGAACTGAGCATTGATACTGGTGTTATGTAGGCAGTTTTCCTGAGGAAAAATTCAATATTCTGATGAAATTACCTCAAAGAAGATTCCAAGCAACCTGCTTCGTTGAAAAATACTGGATTGAAGAATATTAAAATTGTCACCTCTATGTTTGTTTTATGCTGATAGTAACTGATTATAAGAACAGTTTGCTTGATCCCATAGCAGTGAATTGTTAATGGATGTGGTAGAACACAATTTGGTATTAATCTATTCAGCTGCATCTTAAGCCTTAATATGGATTCTGAATCCGAATAATTTTTTAATGTTATCCATTTTGTTGACACTTGATAATTCTTGAACTATCAGAGTGCCCTTATTCATTTCAGTCAAATGTCATATCAAGTAAGTTATCATTATACAGTGTAGTTTTAACACATAAAGCTTGTTAGTTAAACATTATAGCATGCTGCATGTGTACCCAATAGCTTTGTGATAGGAAAAACAAAACTTGACTGCTGATTATATTTCCATTTTATTTTTAAATCTCTGAGTTGACTTGCTAAACTGCATTTGTTTTAAAGTACAGTATTACGTTCTGGTTGTCAAGAGAAAGTTTAGATTGAAAGTTTGCTGTGATTTCCAAGCCATAATGAAAATAGTGTGAAGGTTGGCAAGATTATTGAGAACCAGTTTAGCAATTTGGATGCAGATCAATGCAAAAACTTGTGTGGAAACAATAATGATGTAAACAGAACAAATATACCAACTTGCAGAAAGACATCTAGCCGTTGAACTAATGAGCTATGTAAACTTGGAGATGAGTTCAAATCAATCCCTATGTTTGGACTTTTTTGAGGATGTGTTTAAATTATGGTCCTCTTGAATTTATTTTTGAATTACATACAATTAAGAGAACCAATTTAGTGTGGTGGTTAAAGATACCAAGCTAGAAACCAGTCTCTTTCTGTCAGCCTTAGGAAGAATGCCATAGCAAACCACTTCTGAAAATGTTGTAAGAAAACTGCAAGGACTTGCCCAGGCAATTACCAGGAGTCATCACTTACTTGAGGGCATGAGTTTATTTTTTTTCCCTTTTTCATGTGCAATTATAATACAAAGAAAAGACACTTTTTTACTTTTAATTATCAGCACTGAAATTATTTTTGAAATAGGCAATAGTTTTACTGTATGTATTGGGAACTGACTGTACACTGATTATCCTATAGCTACAGGGAAAAACCCAGGCCTCCTTCAAATTAATAAGAAAACAGCATCTAGATGATTAACTTGAATTCTGACATCATTCAAATTAATTCCACAGAAAATTATAGCCTATTGTGAAAGTAAAAATAAATCTCATTTTATTCATTGTTATTTTATATGCAATATGTAGCTAATTATAATCTACAAGATAATTGTAGGACTGTTTTAAGCACTGAGCACTGTTTTAAGAATTTCAAATTGTTGCCAGGAGTCTAATGTTAATTTAGAATACTAATGGGAATGAATTGTAACAGCGTTAAATGTATACAGAATTAATGTAAGGAAAGGATTCAAAATTCAGAAGGTATTAAATAGGAGATTCTTGGGTTCTAAATACCAGGATAAAAAAAGTTAATTTGCAAAAAATAATAGTTTAGATTTCCTTTTCTTAACTGCTGCAAAATTTGTAGCAAGCTATATCTTTTTGTTGTTCAAAATTAACTGTGCTGATTTGCTGTAAACATGCCAAAACTGCAAAACGTATGTTATTTTAAAAGATAATATATGATTACAAACAGAGTACATTTTATTTCATAAATTGAAATTTGTCTGTTAATCTCTGTGGGACATTTTAAAAAGTTGTCTGAAAACTCTTAACTTGCTTTTATACTGACTTGCATCACCAATCATTTTACTTCAGTATAATTTTATGCCTGTAAATGGTGATAATGAATGTGTAGTTTACATTCTGTAACAGTGATTTGAACCCACAGCCATATGAGCAAAACAATTAGTACTCCCTTGCTTGTAACTTAAAACAGCAGTTATAAGCAACCAACACATTGTACAATTTCATAAGACCAAAACAGATTTTGGTTCCATTTAAGAGGAAATTATTATGAAATACATGTATGCCTTCACTGCTGCATTTTGTCCTTTGTGGTTATGAACAGTGTGACTGTGCATTTTAAATACTGTATTCTTTGGTTTCTTTGATATGCTATACTGTTTCAGGTACTCTATATGTAGTTGCCAGAGTGCTACATTCTTGTAATACTTTTTTTAAAATTATCCTTGATCAAAACAGTCCAAGAATTTGTTCCCATGACATTGGCTTAACATTAAAGGCAGTATTATATTGACCTTGAAACTTTAAGATTAACCTGAAGTGAAATAGTTTAAATGACTTGTATCTCAAATACCTTGTACTGGTAATATTTGGTTAACAACAGAAATTGGGACCAGGAATTCTATCGCTAAATGACATAATCGTAAAGTGCATCACATGACCATGCCAACTTACAGTAGCCGCTCCATTTGCCATTGTTAAGAGACTCCAGTGTGGTTGTTAAGTGTGACATCGTGTGATTGTCATTTGCGATCTCCTGCTAAATGCCTCATCACGATCACAAAATTGCAGGGGTGTTGCAAGGACACAATTTTGGGGACCATCTGTAAGTCTCTTTTTTCAGTTCTGTCATAACTTTGAATGGCCACTGAACAAAGAATTGGGTTCGGTATGCGTGAAATACTCATATAGAGTTTTCAGTTTTTTTTTAAATTTTAGGTATTTATTTATTTATTTATTTATTTATTTATTTATTTATTAAATTTTTATACCGCCCGAAGAACTCAGGGCGGTGAACAGCCAGGATTAAAATACATACAATACGAAAATTAAAATAATTTAAAAATAATTAAATCAAATTTGGCTTCCCCAATTTAAAACCCCTTACCCATAAAATTAACCAATTAAAATTTTAAGCCAGCCCGGATTGCTGAAATAAGAAAGTCTTCAGAGCCCGATGGAAAGCACGGAGGTCTGGGATCAGTCGTATCCCTGGGGGTAGCTCGTTCCAGAGGGCGGGTGCCCCCACAGAGAAAGCTCTCCCCCTGGGGGTCACCAGTCAACATTGCTTGACCGACGGCACCCTGAGGAGACCCTCTGTGGGAGCGTATTGGCCGATGGGAGGTTATCGGTGGCAGAAGGTGGTCTCGTAGATACCCAGGCCCTAAACCATGGAGCGCTTTAAAGATGAGAACCAATACCTTAAACCGCACCTGGAAGCCAGTGCAGGTCGTGCAGGAGAAGTGTTACATGGGAGTGCCATGTCGCCCCCATAATCACCCGCGCGGCTGCATTCTGGACCAGTTGGAGCCTCCGGGTGTTCCTCAAGGGGAGCCCCATGTAGAGAGCATTACAGTAGTCCAGGTGGGAAGTAACGAGGGCATGAGTGACCATGCATAAGTAGTCCTAATCCAGAAAGGGGCGCAACTGGCGTATCAGGCGAACCTGATAAAAAGCCCCCATGGCCACGGCCATCATATGCTCTTCTAAAGACAGCCATGCATCCAGGAGGACGCCCAAGTTACGAGCCCTCTCCGTGGGGGTCAATGACTCGCCCCCAATAGCCAGCGATGGCACCAACTGGCTATATCAGGACGCCAGCAACCACAGCCACTTGGTTTTGGAGGTTGAGTCGGAGCCTGTTCCTCCCCATGCAGATCCACACGGCCTTCAGGCACCGGGACATCACTTCAAGGGCATCATTGGGGTGGTCTGGAGTGGAGATGTACAGCTGAGTATCATCAGCGTACAGATGGCACTGCACTCCCAAAACCACGGATGATCTCACCCAGCAGCTTCACATAAATGTTGAACAGGAGAGCCGAGACGACCGACCCTTGCGGCACCCCACAAACTAGGTGCCTTTAATCCAAACAAGGATTAAAAGCATAGTACAGCCTCAGTTATGTCAGAATCAGAATAGAGCTGGAAGGGACCTTGGAGGTCTTCTAGTCCAGCCCCCTGTTCAAGCAGGAGATCCTATACCATTTCAGATAAGTGACTGTCCAGTCTCTTCTTAAAAACCTTCAGTGATGAAGCACCCATAACTTCTGCTACACTGGTTAAGTGTCCTCGCTGTTAGGAAGTTTCTCCTTAATTGCAGATTGCTTTTCTCCTTGATTAGTTTCCATCCATTGTTTCTTGTCCTGCCCTCTAATGCTTTGGAAAATAAATTGACCCTCTCCTCTTTGTGACAGCCTCTCAAATACTGGAATACTGCTATCATGTCCCCCATAGTCTTTCTTTTCTCTAGGCTAGCCAAATCCAAATCCTACAACCATTCTTCATATGTTTTAGTCTCCAGGCCTTTAATTGTCTTAGTTGCTCTTCTTTTCACTTTTTCCAAAAAGTGAAAGTCAACATCTTTTTTGTAATGTGGTGACCAAAACTGGAAGCATTATTTCAGGTGTGATCTTACTAAGGCTTTATAAAGCGCTACTAATACTTTAGTAGATTTTGATTCTATGCCTCTGTTTATACAACCAAGGATTGTATTAGCTTTTTTGGCTACTGCTGCACACTGCTGACTCATGTTTAAGTGATCATGCACTAGGTTTCCAAGGTCCCTCTCATAGAGGGTGGATAAAAATTGATAATTTTTTTAAAAAAATAAAAAAAATCAGATTTTTAAAAATTTAAATCGGATTTTTTTATTATCAAATTTATTTTAATAAAATGCTTTTGGAGTAAAAATCTATCTAAAAATAGTTTTCTATTTAAGATACATTAATAATTTAGTTTATTCAGCATGAAATGGAACTTAGTTATGTAGCATTTTCATCTTGTTTGCTAATAATAATATTAAAGATTCTAACTACCAGCAAGAATGAGTCCTTACATTTAAAGAGCACCTGTCATTCCAGATCCATCATGGCAGCACCTGTTAGCAGGTATCCACTCACCTGCTGCCTGCCACGTCCCTCACCTTGTTGCGTCACTTAAAGTGAATGGGACTGTTGGTGAGTCAACAGCAGGTCAGAGGAGCAGCTGCAGGACAGAGAGGACAGTTGCTCTTTAAAAATTATGATTTAAATTGAGTTGATTTAAATCAAGCCTTTTTACTAGTGATTTAAATCATGATTTCAATTGTCTTGATTTAAATCAAATCCACCCTGCCCTCACAGTTACTGTTTTTGAGCCAAGTTTCATCTAATCTGTACTTGTACCTTTGGTTTTTCCTGCCCAGGTGTAAAATCTTGCTTTTCTCCACATTAAATACCATTTTGTTGGATAGAGCCCATTGTTCAAGTCTGTCAAGATTGTTTTGGATCCTGAACTTGTCTTCTGGGGTGTTGGCTATTCCTGCCAGCTTAGTGTCATCTGCAAATTTGATGAGTTTCCCTTCTATTCCCTCATGTAAGTCATTTATGAAGATATTGAGAGTACCGGGCCTAAGACAGAACTTTATGTTACTGTGTTAGGCCCGGTACTTGCTTACTTCTCTTCATTTAGATGTAGTCAGTGATGAAATCCTCCGAGGTCTGCTACTGGTTTGCTGTGGGCATGCATGCTCTGTGTGTGCCAAACCGCGCACTTTGCGTGCATGTGCACCGCAGGCGCTACTGTACAGCGCTGGAAAAGAAGGCTTAAGCCTTTTCTAAGGTAACTAGAACAGTGAGGGGGGAACAGCTGTGTCGCGTGATTTAGATACACTAGAAAGCAGGATTTCCTGCTTTCTAGCGAATATAAATCACGCGGCACAGCTGATTGTCGTTAATACCAATTCGTCTGAACCTGTAGCATTTTTTTACTACCGGTTCGTCTGAACTGGTCCGAACCGGTAGCATTTCATCCCTGGATATAGTACCATTAAGGACTATTCATTGAGTACAGTTTGTCAGCAAGTTACAAATCCATCTCGTAGTGATGCTGTCTATCCTGCATTTTTCTAGTTTACCAAGAAGTACCGGTAGGTTGTGGTCTACTTTGTCAAATGCCTTGTTGAAGTTTAAATATACTATGTCCATAGCATTTCACTGGTCTACTAATTTAGTCACTTTGTCAAAGAATGAAATAAGATTGGTTTGGCATGATCTGTATTTAACAAACCCATGCTGGCTATGAGTTATAACTTTTATTTGTTTCTAGACGTTCACAGATCTGTTTTTTAATTATTTTTTCCAGTATCTTCTCAAGTATTGATGCTAGGCTGATTGGTCTGTAGTTTTTTGTTGTTGTTGTTTTCTTTCCTTTTTTGAAGATGTGAACCACATCAGCTCTTTCAATTCATGGTAGATTCTGTCTCACATCTGAATAGAAATACAATTTGTACAGTCAGATGTACAAATAGGCCATTTCTCCAAATATAAGTTTTTTGAGGCAAATAGAGATACTGTTACCCATATCTTTAGTCTAATTCTTAGTGGCATTTCTCTGCCAATTGCTGCAAATAGACTGAAATTGGTTACCAGTAAGTGCAGAGTTCATACATGGCAGTGAGACTTAAACTGTAAAAAGCTCCCTTTGAATCTCTTGCTCACTGCTATAAAACAATACAGCACCCAATTTTCTAAAGGCAAACTGCTTCATTTAGAGGAGCTCTTACCTTAAATCAATGTTTCCTCATTTGATTTAGTACATGCACATCAAATTGCTTTTTAATGCAAGCTTTATACTAATTTTCTTCTAGTTTCTATCCTTGACAGAAAACAATAAAGTTAGGGAGCAGAAGAATAGAAATGGAGAAGAATAATATGAAAAATATAAATGGTATAGTAATCTGGAAAAAAATACTGGTCCGGCCAATCAGTGGCACCACTTGACCCACGTTTTCTAAAATCGGAATTCCAAAATACAAGTAGCCATGTAGAATTGTAAGTCAGCTATGGCATTGCAGGAACACAAAGTATAAAACTTACTTCTTCCAACATTTAAATCTTGAAAGCTGGCTGTGCTGCTTTATATTGTATGTTTTATTTAGAGGAACTCTCAAGTGCTAGAAATGCCCTAGTTACAGAACCCAGCTAGATTGCCACACTGCATACTTTGTTTCAATTATATTTCAACAAGATGAAACCTTGAGCTAGGTTAGAATTAATTTAACTCTCGGGGGAACACATTCCTCTGCAAAATGGCATGGTTTGCAATTTGGAGGTTCTGCAAACTTGCAACTCTTGCTTGAATAGCAGTTGGAGGTCCTGGCCAGGAGACATTTTGGCCATTTTCACTGATAGAGCAGCTACAACTGTTTCTAGAGAAGATGCTATGTCAGTGATTCCTATCCTTATCACTTCAAAGGTGTATTACTGTACTTGGGTCTGCTTGTGAAGACTACTTGGCAATTGGTTCAATATTTATCAGGAGAATATCAGTATTGTGGGAGGTACATTTGCTGCTAGTTTCTGGGTACACTTCAGAGAGTTGCCATTACAACTTTTTGGTTCAGATTCTTGTTTCCTCTCCAAATAGCATCTTCCTATCCTGTGCATTCTGTGCAGGAAGAGTTGGTGAACATTCATTCCTACCACTGGTCGGGAGGACAGCAAGCCTTTTCTGTGGTTGCCGAACCTAACAGATTTCTTTGTCCTCCCCTAGATAAATAGATGTCTCATACCAATCATCTGTTAGGAAAGAGATGAAAACTATTGTCTTGGAACATAAATTTGGAATCAGAGTAATTGTTACTTGCTGTGTCTGGCAGTTGTGTTACTTTATGGTTTTTATGTTGATTCTTGGACTTTATGTCTTTTCTGATACTGTTGTGAGTTGTAGTTTTGTCATCTGCCTGGAGTTGTGAAATAAACAATAAATAGGGAAATGTTGTGTAAATTCAGATATACACTATAACATACTATAATGCAAGCAGATATATAAATCCTTGAAACTATGGGTAACATTATTAGGTCTTAAAATTAAAATTAATTGCTGATTATATATTTAATATAGTATAATGACATGCCCTAGAATGTCATTCATCTTTTGCTTCATACAATTAGAGTGCTGTCATTTTCAATTTCACTGGATTGAAATAGTTTTGACTGCAGTAATATTTGGGAAATATAATGGTATATAAAAAGCTTATGAAATAAGAAAATGCTCAAAATAGGTTCTTGTTTCAAATCCGATGTTTGGGGAAATTGCAGGTCCTTACCCTGATACTTGCAAAAAAGATCTGCAAAAATAGTATGTTAGGGATGCACCTGAAATATATTTTGTTTCAAACTTGGGACAAACTGTTCTTTCCAAGCGTATTTATTTTACAGGATAAAGATAGAAAAATAGTTTAATGTCTATAATCCAATGGAACAAAATAAAATGAGAGGTTGAAGAAAAAACTTATTTCCTTTTTTTCACTTCCAGGTTACAAAAATGAAAGAAATGGTAATCCATGTCAATTGATATCTCTCATCCAACCTATAAAAAAACTGTACAAAGTGATTAGTTTAGTGCTATGTTCAAAATTGGATAAAGTGTGGCTATTCTTAATATGGCTTATTGAAGGAACCAAATTTCATAAATCATGATTGAATTTTATTATAGGGTAATATGAAATTTGATTCCTTCAATAAGCCATATTTAATAGAAGCAGAATTTAAGTTGGAAGTAATATTGTACTCTCTTCTGATAGCCATACCGGAAGACTATGTAAATTGCTTATTCTTATGCTTATAGCATCTAATGAATCCTCGATTTTTAGTTATAGTTCCATATGAAGTCCAAATTGACGAAATATAATTAATGATCGAATTTTCAAATCAACCTATCACAGAATTGGGATCACAAACTATAATTACATTAATAACATAATTTGTACTGCTGGATGGAAAATTAAAGATGGAAAAATTAAAGTAGACAAGATATTCAAATGCTTCAGTGATTTGGTGTACTATCTTCAACCACTGGTTTTATTAAAGTAATATAAATGAGTCCTATCAAACACAATATTGGACTTTCATATTGCATATTCTTGCTTCTTCTGGTATAGTTATATACCAAGACTTGAAACTTCTTCCATTTTAGATTAATTGCAGTTTGTGGCCAAAACTGGACAAAATTTCTATGTAATGTTAACTATGCTTTATTGAAGCAAGCCAGTTTTAAGTTATAGTTTGGCACTGGGTTTTTTTTAATTGACTAAGTTAAAATTAACTGTATTTAGTGTTCAAATGAAAGCATAGTCTGAAGCCCATTGAATGAAATTATAATTGTTAGGTGTATCAAGTGATTAAGTTTCTGCATATTTTTTTAAAAAAATTCACTTTTAAACTATTTCACTTTTATTTGAGACAAAGCCAGTAAAAGCTCATTCTGGGTTAAAGCTGCATGACATAATTTCTTGTGGATTTAATAATGGGTAGATATTTTAAGAAGTGGTACAGAGGAGCTTGTATTTATAGAAATTAACTTTCTTCTGTATATTCAGGAATTTTCCTTTAATAAACGTCATGGATGGGAATATTTTTTTTCTGGATAGGCAAGGTAAAACATGATGGCATCTTTCTTGCCTGTAGCAGAAACATTTTCTGTCTGAATGGATTTCATCCATGCATGAATGCTTTTTCAAGAAAGTAGGTCTTGTGCCAGCAAGGTGAGATAGAGTATTTTTCCACTAAAAATTTTCAATTTCTAGATATGCGTTGCTTGATTAAATTAAATGAATGTAATATAAAATAGGCTTTGGGAAAAATAAGATGTGTTTTTTGTTCTGATAATTAACTTTATAAAATGTGTATGCATATACTTCTTTGGACATAATTAAAATATGTGCTGCCGGTATCAGTATCTTCATTTTTTCTTAAAATTATGTGCGGAAAATCTCAACTTTTCTCTATCTAACCTTTCCTCTTCACCTTTCATAAAGAGTCAGGATTGATCTTAGTATTTCCCAGAATGTGCTGACAATCATTCCCCATATATATTCAGACAACAAGGTTGTTTTGTTTAAAGCCACGTTTCCTGATGATTGAATTAACAGCGGCAACCTAAGTTGCAGCTTCCAGTAATTGAGTGATTGCTTGTATATTTATTTAATATTTATCTATTTGCCATGACAGTGTTACCTGCACAAGATCTTCTGATTAAATGGCATATTAAATAAATATGCCTTGCTTTCATAAGCATTATAGAAATTCCTTAAATTTCTTGAGCAATTAACGTTTATAGAAGTACAGGTAGTCCTTGATGTATGATAACAATTGGGATCAAATTTTTCACTGCTAAAAGTTGTGATCATCAAGCACAATGTCATATGACTGCATTACTTAGCAACAGTACTCCCAACATTCTCCATTGCCATTGCTAAGTAAATTCCACTGTTTATAAGTACCCACCCCAATTTAAGTCAATCAGGGCTTGGTTCCTCCCACTCTCAAGCCTCAGTAAAGTAAGGGACAAACTCCAACCCACCCACCCCCTTATCTCACCACTATCCCTACCCATTTAGCCATCCTCCATCCTGCCTTGTGGGGCAACAAGAAGCCCCAAAATTGACGCTGGGGCTACCTGCTACACTATGGCTCAGAGCTGTAGTGGGATTCAAATCCCGTCGCTACCGATTTACTTGTGGGAGTGTGCGCAAGCTTCTGCGGAAGCTCAGAGATGTCTTGGTGGGTGGCTGGAGCCTCCCGCCACAGCTGCTACTGGTTCGCCTGATCCGAAGTGAACCAGTAACAACCCACCACTAGCTCAGAGGCTTCTTAGCCTGCCCTGGACTGCAAGAAGGCCTTGGCCCACAGTCCGACACAAAACTGCAGTCACCTTTGAAGCCTCAGCTATCCAGCTCAGCATTCCAGCACAATGTGGCTGCACCCTGGCAAGCCTCAGCAGCACAGCACAAAGCTGCAGCATTCCAGAAAGCCCCAACAGCATGGCCCCAGGAAGCCGAGACAGCCCAGCTGCCCTCACTGACTGTCACCCCAGCTGCCCTTCACCGTCTTCTTGCTTCTACTGAGGTATACTGCCATGGCCCTTTACCAGGCAGCTGCTCACCACCTGAGACCATTTTGCCCTAGGTGTCACAAGGAAACTGCCGGGCATGACCTTGGGAAGAAAGCTTCATGTGCCAGCAGCTGCCTCACCAAAGGCCAGGGCAGGCATGCTTGGTCACCGTGGAAACAAGATGGCAAAAGTTGCCTAGATTGATGAGCCACAGAGTGCAGGGAGTCCAAATGGCATAAATTGAGGGAAGGTAGGTGGGGGAAAGTTGAAGTGTCCATACAGTCTTAAGTAAATGCAGACTACTAAGCACCCAAATTTTGACCTCCAGGGTGCTGCAAGGGCTGTAACTTCAGGGATAGGTCATAAGTCCCTTTGTTCAGCATTGTTGTAACTTGAAATGGTTGCTGAATTAATGGTTGTAAGTCAAGGACTACCTGTAACCAGAAGCAGCTGGCAGTTCTGTCTAGTAGCTAGTGGTACCTAGTGATTAAGGTACCTGGCTAGAAAGAAAAAGACCGTGAGTTCAAGTCCCACCTTAGCCATGAAAACCAGCTATGTGACTTTGGTCAGTCACTGGTCCAAGGTCATCTTACTTCACAGCCCAACTGATCTCACAGGGTTATTGTGGGGAAAATAGGAGGAGGAAGGTGTGATGGATGTGTTCACTGCACACATTGGGTTATTTGTGAAAATAATAAAAGGCAGAATATAAATTAAATACTTGTAAATAGAGATGTCTAAATAAATAAAAATGGATTACTTCCTGATTTTCATCAACTTCTCTATAATACTAATACTAGTACATAATACTAAGTTCAGTAGAAAAAAATTTTGTACAAAGGTACTAGTTTTAAATATTAGCATTTGTTGTTGACAGTTATTTTTCATTTTTGGCCTTAAAACAGTAGAAATTTGGTTCTAATATAAGACTGAATGTTTAGTAATAAATGAAATTTAGAGAAAATATTTACAGAATTTCATACTTAATATTTACTGTAAAATATTTACAGTATGAAATTCTAAATTCTACTGTTCAAATCATATGATGGGCACCTGGCAATATTGTATTTTGCCTTACTACTCACGAAATGACCTTATACATACAACCACTTTTATTATTGTATGGTTAGGATAACAAAGATTGTATCCCAATGGTTGTCAAATAGCAAAA